AGTTTAGGGGTGTGGACATTTTGTTGGTAAAGTACTTGTCTTTAGCGATATATTTGAGGGGCAGAGTGTTTTACTTCGAATCGAATACTGTAAAAACTGTTCAGAATAGTATTGTTTGAGTACCAAAGTTTACTACAACTACTGTTATGTAGTTGTGCTTGTTCATACTTTTAGAAGTGTTGACATACTTTTGTTGTTTACCTCATGAGTTATATATCAATAACAGTTGTATGACATCATTGTTGCAGATTATTCTCTTCTCATTAATCTATTATTTAAATAGCATATCCATGATTATGTATAGAATGATGTTTACCGAAACAAATAAAGGCGACGTTATTTAAAAAAGAAGATAAATTATGACGTAACAAGTATTTAATATTAAAATTGTCTGCAAATAAAATGATCCCCTGTCAATAACAGCGGGTTACATTATTGAAATCAGACAGGTTTTTAAGGACGTCATCCTCTGCTATTTACGTTCTCGCGCGACGTTTAATCTTATATCCGCTTCCAGATTATACGACTATTGTCGCATCCACACTGGCCGCCCAAGTGAGAAGCAAAATCGTTGTAATAAACTAAGATTAACGCAAGGTGATTCATCCAGGGAAATGAGATGAACAAAGTCGGATTGAATTTCACTGATGTTGTTTTTTTCTAAAATGGCATTCTACTCCCATTTTATTGTTTGCTACGCATTTTGCTTGGATTCAAAGTATTCCTAAAATCTCCGGCCTTGCGTACTATTGTCAAATAAAAACTATTGCGCATGCAGAACCGTTGCTAATGACATCCAACTTGATGCTTCATAAATACATACGAGATGGGGTAACGATAAGACTACGTTGATGTTCCCTATGCTCAGAAAGTCAATCCTCAGCGACGATCAGGGCAGTATATTTGTACAAACACTAGCATAGCGTAATGCGAGGCCACATCCAGGCACCAACACGGCGTATCCGTGTGGTCGACACTTGATTACTGCAGTTTACTACAATGCTACTTACTCCATACCAGTCACTCGTCGACTAGCAGTGTAAATGATTTAAAATACAATAATATTTGATGAAGAAACAAGTGTTCTTCTTGTCTTATTTTGAAAGAAATTTAGCCCCTGAGGGTACTACCCTTAGAACCATACAATACATGCAAATCATTGACTGACAATGCAGTAACCAGTTTGTAAGATGTGTTCAGTAACGAATCCCACTCATGGCACAAACAAACAACTTACTCAGTCCAATACTGATGGATATGTATAGTAGATGAATACAAAAAAAAACACATAATATCTAACTAAGCCATAGATTACGTAAAACAAGTCTAACCTGTACTGTTGTCAGTCACAACTTGCAAGCCCAGTTGATGTTTATTTCACAGTGACGCTATGTGATCAACACGATTACTATGCGTCATATCTTGAATATTTTTAGCATTTTTATTCCCATTAATCTTTTAATCCTTGTGTCACGAAAAACGAGACGGCTTCATTTATTTGTTCTCTGTTAAATCAGTGTTCATTTAAAGTCGAGTTAAAACAACAAGGTAGAAATTTGTCTAACCAAAAACAAATAATTTATACATATATGTGTGTAAAATTATAATGGTGAAACACAATTGATTATAATTTGATAACGGAGTGGTACTGTCACTTATTACCAGCATATCTATGATTAGTTCCTATTTTCAAATGCGCTGATAGCGACCAAACCATTTTAGTCGCAGGGTCTCAGTAGGTATTCCTTGAAACATTACTATATTAAGACAAAATAATTCAAACCAAGATTGCAAACAAATACAAATAAATACATACAAATACAAATAAATAAATAAATACAAACAAATAAATACATACAAATAACTAAATACAAATGCATGCATACAAATAAATACATAAATAAATAAATAAATAAATAAATAAATAAATAAATAAATAAATAAATAAAAACAAACAAATAAATAAATAAACAAACAAATAAATAAAAATAAAAATAAATATATAAAAATAATAAAAATAAATAAGTAAAAATAAATAAAAAGAAATAAAAATCAATAATCATAAATAAAATAAATAAAACATAAATAAAAATAAATAAATATATAAAAATAATAAAAATAAATAAATAAAAATAAATAAAAAGAAATGAAATCAATATTCATAAATAAATATAAATGAAAATATATAAAAATAAATAAAAAAATAAATGCAAATAAAAATAAATAAATAAATAAATAAATAAATAAATATTGTTCAATCAATATTTACAACAATTTCAACATACAATTTTTAACACAATCGATGATCTTGTTGGATACAAAGTTAGTAGGAGAACAATAGTTTAGACACTATATTAGCCCGTTGTTCGCCATTAAAATCCATAACTACATTTATTTTCTTCATTATAACATTCATGGTAATATAACAGAAAGCCAATTATGGATTATTGATGTCACAAGAGCAACTAATTTTTTATAAAGTCCCTTCATCGAAGATTAGAATATCCAGTTATTAATAAATGTTTATCTGTATTCTGCAATATATCTCTGAGAATAGTCGAGTTTCGAGTTATGACGCCATCAGTCGGTTGTCGCGCGATAATGGCGGATTGATTTCTAGCTTGCGCAACATATTCACGAGTTCCTGGCGTTCACTCGGCAAAATCAACCCCCTACACACACACACACACCTCGCAGACGAAATTAAGAACGTTTTTACACGAACTTTTTAAGGTAGCGAGAAGATAAATATTTATTTTCATGTTGGCGATTCTGATATACGGATGATGAGTTTCCTGTCGTGAACAAAGCGTGTTTATCCAGCGACTATTGTCAGTATTATTGATAGTCAAGACAACATCGGAGAAACATAATTGAGTGTAACTTTCATTTAAACCGTTTTATTTTCGAAGTCAATTTTTTATTTTACTAACACCATTTTACTAACGCAATGACGAGGAAAAGAATGAAAACTGAAGACGCCGATGACAGACGAGGCAACCTGCAACTCAGTGACGC